TGCTTTTATTTTTTTATGTCAGGCTGTCGGAGCGCTCCTCCTCCTCCTCCTCCTCTGTCCGAGGCTGGTGTGGTGTGAGGCGGACACAGAGTTCAGCCGAGGCTGCTGGAGCTCCAGGTCCTGATCCAGGGAGCCAACATGAGTCAGTCCCAGACTGAGCTGACTTGATCAAGTCTCTCTCTGCCTCTGGTGAGGAGGGGGGTGAAAAATCCTCCACCTCAGACCATTTAGGGATGTAACTATCTGCATCACTGTGGTCACTCTCCATGTAGCATCAATTATGCTAATGCTAGCTGTCGCGTTCTCTCGTCCTGGCCACACCTCCGCTCTCTAACCCCCCTTCCTCCACCCACACCCCCTCTCCTACCCACTTTGATGCATTTTTCAAATTTCGCCTTGGGGCGGAGTTATCTTTTCACGGGGGGGGTAAGATACACTTTAATGGAAACACTGCAATTGCGAAACTGTGTTTTTTCAACATTAACAGAATATCGACAAAGTTTTGCGCACATTTGCAATGGAAATGCAGCTAATATGTCCCACTCTGTAACACAAGCAAAGTTCTTTTTTTAATGTTCCAGTATCTGACGTAAAAGGTACTGCCTCCAGTGGTGTGACCAGGAAGTCAGGTTTTCATGTGACTTTACTGGAGTGAATTATCATTACTCCTTTAGAGCAGCCTTGGACAGACGCTGGGCTGCTGAGAGGAGTCGTTATTGTTCTGATAAGACCCAAGGCCCCTAACTCACAGGGATGGCAGGCTGTGAGCTGTAATGGAGTCAGATATTTGAATAAAACTTTTTTWAAAGAGAATCAACTGGTTTTCTTCAAATTTATTCAGACTCCAATTCTGATCATGTTTTTCTTACACACTGATGACATTATAAAGTATATTTCCATTTATTCGAGGTGCTTTGGTTACAGTAGAAATATGTTGACTCTAATTTTAATCAAATTTTAAAAAGAGGCTCAACATATCCATCACATCTCCTGCCAGTTTTAAACACAGATCATCACAGTCAGTTTAGTCAAACTTGTAAAAGCCTTTATGTACAGTTTCATACAATTGTACAAAATATCCTGGCATATGGACGATGCCTCTCAGCTACTACCTCGTCAGTTTTTAACTCTTTGTGTCAAATTAGGAGTTATAGACAGTTTCACTCACCAAAACTTAAGGTCCACCAAAAATGTGTATACTCTATTTTATGCTTATTGTAAATGTAACTTTTTTTTCTCTCTTTTTTTTTTTCAAGGCCCCCACAAAATCAAATTCATTCCCGAGATGGTGGGTCCAATTCTGGAGATGACCCTGGTTCCTGAGATCGAGTTGCGAAAGGCCACCATCCACATCTTCTTTGACATGATGCAGTGCGAGTTTCACTTCACATGCAGCTTTCAACGTGTACGTGTTCTAAAAACAAATGAGTATATGTTGCAAATATTAGAGAAGTAGAAAAGAAAGAAACGCTTAACAAAAAATAAATAAAAGCATCACACAGCAGTCCATCTAATGACCAGTTACAGAAACTAAAGCCTCCTTGTAAGTCTGAAAATTTCATTTTGTTCTACAATTATCAACAGCGATGGGAAGTGGAAGTTATTTTGCTTTTATATGAATTTAGCTTTGTTACAGCTGTCTTGTTTGGTAAAATTTGTAAAGATAATGTCACTCGTATCAAATTGAGGAAACAAAGTGTTCTTTTTGGTCGTTTGAAGACGGTGACATTTTACCCAAGCCTGTTCTGTTAGATCAGTCGTATTCAATTAAAATTCAGCAAGGTCCACCTAAAGAACTCTTTCCTCCAGCAAAGGTTCTGAATATGTATATTTAGATTTCCTTTTGGTGACAGCCACGCTCGTTTCCTTCACTCACTAAATTGTCTTTTCAGGCATGTACCTCTCCAAGGGCTGACAGCTTTTCTCTGCAGACAGAAGAAGAGAGAAACCGCTGGCTAGACGTAGGAATTACCATTAATGCTTGAAAAGCCGCACCGCCTAAAATGAGTTTGCGTTAATGCGAGGAAAGCTGCGCTGCATAGAATGACTTACCTTAAATGCTAGAAAAACTGAGCCGCCTAAATTGAATTACTGTAGAAAACAGGCACTGCATAAAATTACTTCAAATGATCAAAAAAAAGACTGCACTGCCTAAAATGAAGCACCTTAAATGCTAGAAAAGTGGTGCAGCTTTTAAAGAATCTGTGTAATGAGTTTAACCAGTTAGTCTGGGTCTAGATAAGACTTCATTTAGGTCTAGATCTGTACCACAGTCCARYATTTAGACCAGAGATTCTTAACCCATGGGCCGGGCCACGAGCGCCACCTTAGGGCCTCAAAAGAATGACAGTTTTTAACTTTGGGTCGCAGAGGGCCACAGGACCGCATTGATTTTGAATAAGGTGCAATACACGTTCTCATCACTAGTAGCGGTGGTGCGCCACTCAGATGTTTAACAACTTTTTTAATATGTAGAAGAAGTACCTTGGAAAACTTCCGAGAATGGAAATGTATTTTAAATGAAAAGTAAAAGGAAAAATGAAAGTAACTCGTCAAAAAACACCAAAGTTTGTCACTAATATGAAGTGCAGCTTCTGTTTTTACCATGCAATATTTTAAAAATTTCAAAACATTATCAAATACAGTTGCAGAACTATGTTTTAATTTGCACTTTAAATTAAATTTGTAGTTTATTTTTAAATATTTTGAATGTATTTTAAAGAAATTTTAAACTTGTCAAAAAGCTGTTGTTACTGTTATTGTTTGTCACTAATATGAAGAGCAGCTTCTGGTTGCAAAAGTTTAAAAATGCKATATTTTCATTTGTACTTTATCAAATTTATTTTTACAGTTTTTTAGTTGAAACATTAAACATTTTTAATTTATTTATGTTATGCTCACAATTTTATTTTTGAATTGTCTATTTTTGTTATTGTACTGTATATGTTAAAAATATATATATTTATTGTTATGGGCAGGTTACAATAGAAAAATGTTTGTCATAATCATGTCTTGTGATTATTTGACAGGAGTTTTACTTTTAAACTGTAAGCGATTTTATTTAGTTATAATGTAAATACCAATAAAAATTAAACTAAGATTTAGAATAATTATCATTTTGATCCATACATTGGTAACGTCTGACTGGGCCTCGTGTCACTTTATGTTCAACAGATTGGGCCCCGAGTTCAAAAAGGTTAAGAGCCCCTGGTTTAGACCATTTGAGAGTGGAAAAATTATCTTTCAGATACTTTTTTTTTTTTTTGGTATGCCAACTTTTTAGGTTCGATCATCCTTTCACTGTCCTCCTTTAGAGACGGAAAACACTATTTAYATCCTGTCCTATAAGGCCACTTTCCTCCTGCTCTGTTCCCGTATTTGGCCGGTACACAAGTATATCAAGAAGTCAGTGAGCACAGTTTTGTTGCGGCGCAATAAAATCTGTTTTCTATACAGCTGCTACATTCAAATATTGGAGAAATAGGTCCATGCATCACTGTCACCAGCTCCTGCGACAACAGAGCAGAAGCAAAAAAGGGGTCGCATCTCATGATGCAGCCTTGTTCTGTTTTCTAATAAAATTTTAACCGATAAAGAAAAGCTTCCGTAATGAACAGAAAACACGAGCTAACAGCCAGCTGGGCCACGAGAAAGTGGCGATTAAAGTCGAGCCCCAAAGCCCCTCAGCTGAGTGTTGATGCAGGGAGAGGGTGGAGTGGGGGACGGGGGAGATGGCGTTAATGAATTGAAAAATTAGCCACAGCGATTATTTACGCCTGCTCTGTCTAATTGCAGTTTGAGAACGAGATCATCACCAAGCTGGATCACGAGGTGGAGGGGGGTCGCGGAGATGAGCAGTACAAAGTTCTCTTTCAGAAAATGTAAGTGCTGATTAATGGGCAGGATAACGCCTGAACTGCTCACAAGTTAGATAATGCTAATTGCAACATAGCACTCCTGAAAATAACCACCGTGTGCTGATAATCACACAACTTCTCAACACAGCCTGCCTCTTTTATATGTGCAATTAGACACTCACACTGTATTAGGCTGAAAATGCATTTCCCTAAAACTTGTTTTCAAAGTTTGATGTTTTATTGCTAAAAAAAARRAA